TTATACGTTAGCGATCGTGGCCGAGCCCCACCGCCCCCCGAGAAACAGCCCATACTGGGCTGTTGATAACGGGCAGGCGGGGGACTCGGTTGCGATTCGATGGCGGTCGGTGCCGGGAGGGCCCGACACGGCCGCCATTGAAAAAGGGGAACGGCACGTGGCCGTTCAATGGGGGCCCATCGCGGTCGTGGGGGTGTACTTGAGGCCCACCAGGCGCCTTCCTCTCTTCGACAACTGGCTCTCGGACATCGGGCAGGCGCTCATACGCCTGAGTCCGAGGCCGGTCCTCGTGGCCGGGGACTTTAATTCGTGGCACACGAAGTGGGGTTCCCGGCACACGAATAGGAGGGGTAGGGCCCTGGATGAGTGGGCGGCGGCGCATGGTCTGGTCCTGGTCAACGAGGGCCGGACCTCCACCTGCGTGCGGACGCACGGGGAGTCCATCGTGGATCTCACGTGGGCGACCCCCTCGGCCGCGTGCCTTATCACGGGGTGGAGGGTGGAGGAGGGCACCGAGACTCTGTCAGATCATCGTTATATAACGGTGGAGCTCGGTGTCCTCTCCTCCGTGCGTCGCCACGAGGAGACGCGACCGCGATGGGCACTACGCAAACTCTGCGAGGACGCCCTGATGGCCTCGCTAGAGGCCGCCTGTTGGGTCCGGGGAGATTTCCCCGAGACCCGGGAGACGGACCCCCTGCAGGAGGCCGAGTGGATCGGGGCAGTGCTTACAGCGGCTTGTAACGCTGCGATGCCCCGGTCCAAAGCTCGGCCTCAGCGGGCCGTCTACTGGTGGACGGCAGAGATCGCCGACTTACGTCGACGAGCCGTCCACCAGCAGCGGAGATTCGCCCGCCGCAGGCGCAGAGGCGGACAGGCGGCCGAACTGGCGAGGGAGGGCTACCTTGAGGCCAAGGTAGCCCTCAAACGGGCCATCAAAGTGGCAAAGGGCAGGGCGTGGACGGAGTTCCTCGACTCCCTTCAGGAGGATCCGTGGGGGCGCCCATACAAGATGGTGCTCAATAAGTTGAGACCATGGGCGCCCCCACTGACGGAGCGGCTGGACGTGGGATTCGTCC